GCGGAATCCTGCGCCAGCACACAGTCAGAAATCGACCACAGCAAAATGGAGTGGCAGAGCGAGCCAATAGACTACTCTCTGAGCGGCTTACTGTGATGCTGGATGAGTCTGGCCTTTCTAAGGCCTTCTGGGGTGAGTGCCTAGCCTCCTTGGTCCATGTTTGGAACAGATGCCCCACTGAAGCAGTCCAACATGCAACCCCCTATGAACTATGGCATGGGAGAAAGCCAGATGTCTCCCACCTTTGAGTTTGGGGGTGTACTGCCTATGTGCACATCCAGAAGGACAAAAGGCGACCTCTGGAGTCCCACATGGAGAAATTTGTGTTTATAGGGTACCCTGAAGGCTACAAAGGCTAGAAATTCTACAATCCCACCACAAAGCGCACAATCATCTCAGAAAGGGCTGATTTTGATGAGAGGTACTTCCCTTTGTCCACTCGCCCTTCCACACCTTCCCTACCTGCACCTCTCCCTCCAAAACCTACCCAAAATGCGCCAGTAGCTCCTATACCCTCCATTCCACCCCCTACAGCGCAATACTACCATCCAAGCACAGATCTGGACACAGATAGTGACACTGATGATGATCTGGATCAAGGGGGAGTGAATGAGCCTGTGGCAGCTGATCCAGACCCCATACAGCCTCCTGTTGCAATTCCAGAGGTCATACCTCCTCCCCCTCGCACTCCCTCGCCCCCAGCACCTCCTAGACCTGCCAGTCCCATTGGAATCGGTGCCAGACTGCCTGCTAGGCGCAGACAGAAGCCCAGAGACTGGTGGAAGCTCTCTCCTGCGCAATTAGAGCATGTGGATGACCCTGATGACAGTGATGATGAACTGGCCATGTCTGCATCCATCCCTGATGAGCCACTCACATTTGCAGAGGCAATGCATTGCCCTGATGCAGATAAGTGGAGAGAGGCAGCCCTGGAGGAGTTAGCTGCTCACCAGAGCAATGGGACTTGGAAACTCGTCCCTAGGCCTGCTGGGAGCAAGGTGAGAGGCTCCAAATGGATATTCAAGGTGAAGAGGAATGCAGATGGCTCTATAGATTGCTACAAAGCGAGATTGGTCGCCAAAGGGTATAATCAGCGCCCTGGATTCGATTATCTCGAGGTTTTCGCTCCAACAGCTCGCCTTTCATCAATTAGAGTCATCCTGGCTCTTGCAGCTCTCCAGGACCTTCATCTTCGCTCTGTGGATGTCTCGCATGCCTATCTCAATGGGGAGATGGACTGTGAGGTCTACATGACCCAACCAGAAGGATTTGTGGAGGGAGACCCAAAATCTCAGGTGTGTCTGCTGCAGAAAGCGATCTATGGCAGCAAACAGGGTGGAAATCGCTGGAACAAGAAGATGCGCTCTGTACTCGAGTCCCTTGGCTTCAGACAGACCTATTCTGATGCTAGCATCTATATCTACTCCAAGGATGGAGTAACCATCTTTCTGCCTGTGTTTGTGGATGATATGACTCTAGCATCGAAATCTGAGACTGCCATCGACTCCTTTGTCTCAGAACTGAGCCAGCACTTCAAAATTCGCGATCTGGGCCCTACAACTCAACTCCTGGGGATCAAAATCGACAGAGACCGCCCCAATCGCTCCATATCCATCTCCCAGCGACAATACTGCCTGGATGTCTTGACCAGATTTGGAATGGCAGACTGTAGGCCCATTTCCACACCTATGGAACCAAATCTTCGCCTATCTCGCCAGCAATCACCTCAGAACCCTCAGGACATCGAACAAATGCGCCAGGTGCCTTATCTATCTGCTGTGGGTGCTCTGATGTACTTGGCCACCACAGCTCGACCAGATATAGCCTATACTGTCGGAGTTCTGGCCAGATTCAACTCTAACCCTGGCTGGGCTCACTGGCAAGCTGTAAAACACCAGATGCGCTATCTGAAGGGCACTCTGGACTATTCCATCACTTATGCTCCTGATCCTTCGACCTCTGAGCCATTTACAACCTTCTCTGATGCTGATCATGGTGGTTGCAAGGACTCTGGTCGCTCCACTGGTGGATATGTGGTCAAGATGGGTACTGGTGCAGTATCCTGGTCTTCCAAGCTTCAGGGAGTGGTCGCTTTGTCCACCACTGAAGCAGAGTATATTTCTGCAGTCCAGGCAGGCAAGGAGATCAAATGGATGCGAAATCTGTTGCAGGAAATTGGCCTCCCTCTCCCAGATGCTTCTACCCTTCGCATTGACAACCAATCTACGATTTCTGTGGCCAAGAACCCAGAACACCATGGGAGGATGAAGTAACTTGATCTCTGCTACTACTGGCTAAGAGATGCAGTTCAGCAGAACCTGATTTCGCCTATTTTTGTCCCTACAGTCGACCAGGCTGCAGATCTTCTCACCAAACCGCTACATCGCACCAAGGTCATTGGTTTCTGCACGATGCTAGGACTTGGCACATCAGGGGGGAGCACTTGAGTGCAGAGGTGCACATTCAGGGGGGAGTGTTCATATTAGGTGCCTGTGCACCTCAGGACTGCGTTTATCCTCTGTGTTATTTCTATCTCACTCTACAGACATGTAGTGGACACTTAGCTTCGCTCTAAGTGTCCTTGGTTTGCTTTTGTTTATTGTTTACCTTTGTTTATCATTTTTGCGCACTTACTGTTGTGTGCCCAGTGAAATTTTCTTCAGTCTCTTACACTGGGCACAAGGGATGTCTTATGTAGTATTCCCTTGAATACAGTCTCTTACACTGGGCACAAGTGGCCTCAGTTTGTGGTTATCTCAACAACCTGTTCCAGACATGGACCAGGGTAGCTAGGCACTCACCCCAGAAGGCCTTGGAGAGCCCAGACTCGTCCAGCATTGCAGTGATTCACTCAGATAGCACCCTATTTGCTCTCTCTGCAACTCCATTCTGCTGGGGGCAATTCCTGACAGTGTGCTGGCGCAAAATGCCGCATTTTGATGTGAACTCTTCAAAGGCCCTGCTCAAATACTCCCCTCCTTTGTCATCACGCAAAATCTTGATTTTTCGCTCAGATTGGTTCTCTGCAAATGCCTTGAACCTCTGGAAGGCATCAAAGACTTCAGATTTGGCCTTGAGAGGCAGGACAAAGCGAAAACGCGAATAGTCATCGATGAAAGTGACCCAATATCGATATCCTGAGAAGGAGAGATGGCCTACATCATGCACATCGCTGTGGACGAGTTCCAGAGGCCTGGTTGCACGCCAAGTCGAGCTAGGAAAGGGATTTGCATGCATCTTGCCAGCCAGACATGGTTCACAGATGGGATCAGGGGAGGACTTTGAGTCTAGGGTCATGCCAGTGACCAAATTTCGCTCTAGAAGCGATTTAACACCAGCCACATGGTGGTGGGCAAGCCTTCTGTGCCAGAGGTCAAGGTCTAAAGGGCAGGTGGTTGCAGCCGAGGCATATTCAGTGATGGGGAGTGTCTCCCCCTCCAGGAAAGTGCTGTTGTTGTCCATAATTCTTGCAATGAAGAGGACGGGCCCAGGGGGGCATCTAAAGGATATCTGCGAAGAATTGATGCTGGCAGAGAAGCCCCTGTTGCGACAGAGATATAAGACAGAGAGCAGGTTGTTGCGCAGGTCAGGGACATGCAGGACATTGGTGATCTCCACAGGGCGATGCTTCTGGCCTCTGACCACAGGCACAAACACCACAGACCCAACTCCAGCAGAGTATACCAATTTGTTGTCTGCCAGTCTTACAGGGACACATTTGGGGGTGTAATTGCGCAGCCAGTGGCGATTGTCCTACCATCTGTTAAGATATCCACAAACTGAGGCCACTGGTGCCCAGTGTAAGAGACTGAAGAAAATTTCACTGGGCACAGAGCAGTAAGTGCGCAAAAATGATATACAAATGTAAATAATAAATAAAAGCAAACCAAGGACACTTAGAGCGAAGCTAAGTGTCCACTACATGTCTGTAGGGTTAGACAGAGATAAAATAAAGGGAAAATGCGGTCTGAGGTGCACAGGCACCTAATATGAACAGCATCTTGCAGAAACCGATGACCTTGGTGCGATGTAGCGGTTTGGTGAGAAGATCTGCAGCCTGGTCGACTGTAGGGACAAAAATAGGCGAAATCAGGTTCTGCTGAACTGCATCTCTTAGCCAGTAGTAGCAGAGATCAAGTTGCTTCATCCTCCCATGGTGTTCTGGGTTCTTGGCCACAGAAATCGTAGATTGGTTGTCAATGCGAAGGGTAGAAGCATCTGGGAGAGGGAGGCCAATTTCCTGCAACAGATTTCGCATCCATTTGATCTCCTTGCCTGCCTGGACTGCAGAAATATACTCTGCTTCAGTGGTGGACAAAGCGACCACTCCCTGAAGCTTGGAAGACCAGGACACTGCACCAGTACCCATTTTGACCACATATCCACCAGTAGAGTGACCAGAATCCTTGCAACCACCATGATCAGCATCAGAGAAGGTTGTGAATAGCTCAGAGGTCGAAGGATCAGGAGCATAGGTGATGGAATAGTCCAGAGTGCCCTTCAGGTAGCGCATCAGGTGTGTTACAGCTTGCCAGTGGGCCCAGCCTGGGTTGGAGTTGAATCTGGCCAGAACTCCGACGGTATAGGCTATATCTGGTCGAGTTGTGGTGGCCAAGTACATCAGGGCACCCACAGCAGACAGATAGGGCACCTGGCGCATTTGTTCAACTTCCTGAGGGTTCTGAGGCGATTGCTGGCGAGATAGGCGAAGATTTGGTTCCATAGGTGTGGAAATGGGCTTACAGTCTGCCATTCCAAATCTGGTCAAGACATCCAGGCAGTATTGTCGCTGGAAGATGGATATGGTGCGATTGGGGCGGTCTCTGTCGATTTTGATCCCCAGGAGCTGAGTTATAGGGCCCAGATCACAAATTTTGAAGTCCTGGCTCAGTTCTGAGACAAAGGAGTGTTGCAAGTGTAGTACTCCAGCACTCAGCAATGCTAGTCCCTACTAGCACTTGGTGGTTAAACCACACCAAGTAAGCCTAGATACCTTGACCAAATAGCTCAGTGGTTAGAGCACCCGGTCGAAACCTGGGAGGTCCAGGGTTCAATCTGATAAAATCACCCAGTCTTAAGGCCTTGTGCCCAGTGTCAGAGACTAAATTCAACAGCTAAGTAGTGACATTACCTTGTGCCCAGTGTCAGAGACTGAAGAGAAAATACACTGGGCACATACAACTGCTAAGTGCGCAAAAATGGTAAACAAGGGAAAACAAACAGTCACAACATATCACAACACTGTATAGTGTAGGAATGCAAAGTTAGACCATATTAGTGTAGCATATAACAGTAGAATAAATGACAATGCCAACAGAGGTGCAGAGGCACCACTGTAACACAATCCCCTGTCTGGTTGCATTTATTGCAACAAGGAGTCGATGGCAGTCTCAGATGTCGATGCTAGAGTCATCATCCACAAACACAGGCAGGATGATGGTTACTCCATCCTTGGAGTAGATATAGATGCTAGCATCAGAGTAGGTCTGTCTGAAGCCAAGGGACTCCAGTACAGAGCGCATCTTCTTGTTCCAGCGATTTCCGCCCTGTTTGCTGCCATAGATCGCTTTCTGCCGCAGACACACCTGAGATTTTGGGTCTCCCTCCACAAATCCTTCTGGGTGGGTCATGTTGACCTCACAGTCCATCTCCCCATTGAGATAGGCATGCGAGACATCCACAGAGCGAAGATGAAGGTCCTGGAGAGCTGCAAGAGCCAGGATGACTCTAATTGATGAAAGGCGAGCTGTTGGAGCGAAAACCTCGAGATAATCGAATCCAGGGCGCTGATTATACCCTTTGGCGACCAATCTCGCTTTGTAGCAATCTATAGAGCCATCTGCATTCCTCTTCACCTTGAATATCCATTTGGAGCCTCTCACCTTGCTCCCAGCAGGCCTAGGGACGAGTTTCCAAGTCCCATTGCTCTGGTGAGCAGCTAACTCCTCCAGGGCTGCCTCTCTCCACTTATCTGCATCAGGGCAACGCATTGCCTCTGCAAATGTGAGTGGCTCATCAGGGATGGATGCAGACATGGCCAGTTCATCATCACTGTCATCTGGGTCATCCACATGCTCTAATTGCGCAGGAGAGAGCTTCCACCAGTCTCTGGGCTTCTGTCTGCGCCTAGCAGGCAGTCTGGCACCGATTCCAATGGGACTGGCAGGTCTAGGAGGTGCTGGGGGCGAGGGAGTGCGAGGGGGAGGAGGTATGACCTCTGGAATTGCAACAGGAGGCTGTATGGGGTCTGGATCAGTTGCCACAGGCTCAATCTCTCCCCCTTGATCCAGATCATCATCAGTGTCACTATCTGTGTCCAGATCTGTGCTTGGATGGTAGTACTTCGCTGTAGGGGGTGGAATGGAGGGTATAGGAGCTACTGGCGTGTTTTGGGTAGGTTTTGGAGGGAGAGGCGCAGGTAGGGAAGGTGTGGAAGGGCGAGTGGACAAAGGGAAGTACCTCTCATCAAAATCAGCCCTTTCTGAGATGATTGTGCGCTTTGTGGTGGGATTGTAGAATTTCCAGCCGTTGTAGCCTTCAGGGTACCCTATAAAGACACATTTCTCCATGTGGGACTCCAGGGGTCGCCTCTTGTCCTTCTGGATATGCACATAGGCAGTACACCCCCAAACTCGAAGGTGGGAGACATCTGGCTTTCTCCCATGCCACAGTTCAAAGGGAGTCGCATTTTGGACCGCTTCAGTAGGGCATCTGTTCCAAACATGGACCAAGGAGGCTAGACACTCGCCCCAGAAGGCCTTAGGAAGGCCAGACTCGTCCAGCATTGCAGTAAGCCGCTCAGAGAGCAGTCTGTTGGCTCGCTCTGCCACTCCATTTTGCTGGGGTCGATTTCTGACTGTGTGCTGGCGCAGAATTCCGCATTTGGTGGTGAAATCGATGAAGGCATTGCTCATATACTCCCCTCCCTTGTCATCCCGCAAAATCTTGATTTTTCGTTCGCTCTGGTTCTCAGCAAAGGCCTTGAAGGTCTTGAAGGCCTCAAAGACCTCAGATTTCACTTTCAGAGGCAAAACAAAGCGAAAGCGAGTGAAATCATCGATGAAGGTGACCCAATACTTGTAGCCAGTGAAGGAGGGGTGGCCTACATAGTGCACATCGCTGTGGACGAGTTCTAGGGGCCGAGAAGCACGCCAGGAAGAGCTGGGAAAGGGATTTGCATGCATCTTGCCAGCCAGGCAATGTTCACAGATAGGATCAGGCACTGTGATCGAGTCTAGTGTCATCCCAGTGACTAGATTTCGCTCCAGGAGGGACTTCACACCAGCCAGGTGGTGATGGGCGAGTCTCCTGTGCCATAGGTCGAAATCCAGGGGCAAAGTGGTTGCTGCAGAGGCATATTCACTGAGGGGAACAGTCTCTGTTCATATTAGGTGCCTGTGCGCCTCAGACCGCATTTTCCCTTTATTTTATCTCTGTCTAACCCTACAGACATGTAGTGGACACTTAGCTTCGCTCTAAGTGTCCTTGGTTTGCTTGTATTTATTATTTACATTTGTTTATCATTTTTGCGCACTTACTGCTCTGTGCCCAGTGATATTTTCTTCAGTCTCTTACACTGGGCACCAGGTACAGTCCTGTATTACTTTACTCAATAACAGTCTCTTACACTGGGCACCAGTGGCCTCAGTCTGTGGTTATCTCAACAGTCTCACCCTCCAGGAATGCGGAGTTGTTGTCCAAAATTCTTGCAATGAAGAGGGTAGGGCCAGGGCGCTGCCTGAAGGACATCTGCGAAGAATCGATGCTGACAGTGAAGCCCTTGTTGCGACAGAGATATATCACAGATAGTAGATTATTTCGCAGGTCAGGGACATGTAGGACATTGGTAAATTCGACAGGACGACGCTTCTGACCCCCCACTACAGGCTCAAACACTACTGACCCCACCCCAGCTGAGTAGACAATTTTGTTGTCTGCTAGGCGCACTGGAACGCATTTTTGGCTGTAATTTCGCAGCCAGTGTCGATGAGGTGTCATATGAGAAGTGGCACCTGTATCTGCGTTCCAATGCACATCAGCATCGAGCTGGAGGGGGCAGAGAGGAGAGGAGGGGTCAAGGGAATGAACACTTGCATTTCCAGCGAATTCTACCGCTTGGGAAGCGCTCTCGTTTGATGAGGAGGCTGTTGGTGCTGTCCCAGTTGCTGGGGAGGAAGCAGATGAGGTAGAGGCTTGATTTACAGTATTGGCACCCTTCCTGTCCTTCTTATTCTTCCTAGAGCGATAATAAGCCTTTGATCTTTCCAGGTTTGGACACTTGTGGACACAGTGGCCTGAATAATCGCAGAACTCGCAAGGCGACGAAGGTGAGCACTTGCAAATTGCAGAGGAGCTCACTAGTGCGGTCGCCGATGTCCCTGCATCAGGGCGGCGCTTGCGCTGCGATTCTTCGGCCAGAAATGCTTCTTTGAGTTTGTCCTTGTCCAGAGATTGGAAGAGAAGGAGAGAAGAAGCAAAATGAGAGTAATCTTCGCCTAGAGAGCGCACCATAGCCATACAGACAAGTTCATTGTCCATATCCTTGATGGAGTATGGAGTAGTAGAGTCCTTGGGTCGCAATTCTTGAATTCTGGACATGGAATCTTCGATTCTAGTGATTAAGGAAGACAGGGACTCATCTGGGGCCTTCCTGATCGAAAAGAAGTCATCCCAGGCATTAAAACGAGCTCCAGGGCGCTGCTGGAGGTGGATGGAGGCTAGAGTCGACCAGATTTGGACAGGGTCTTCCTGTACAGCATCTACATGGGTCCTCTGCTCACTAGAAAGCGCCAGATAGAGCTCTCCAGCTGCCCTGTCCGCTCTAAGGTCCCATTTGGCCTGAGCTTCGACTTTGGAGTCATCAGGGCGCTTTTCCAGACCACTAACAATGGTCCAGAGCCCTTTTGTGCGCAGGAAAGCCTTCATTTCGCCTTTCCAGGTCGAGTAGTTGGAGGCAGTGAGTTTTGCGACAGAGGGTGAGGAGTTGGCATGGTCCTCAGCCATGGTGGCGAATTTCGAGTGGAAAGGAGAAGGATGGAGTGGATGGGGTGAGGCTGGAAGCTGGGAGCTCAAAGAATGAGCTGTAGCGAGCGAGTGTGTGGTTCCTTTGGGTCGAGGTTTTGCGCAGAGATGGATTACGTGGCGAGCAACGAGTGCTGAGAATCCTAGAGCGCGGGGCTCATAACCTGTTAAGATAACCACAAACTGAGGCCACTGGTTCCCAGTGTAAGAGACTATTATTGAGTAAAGTAATACAGGACTGTACCTGGTGCCCAGTGTAAGAGACTGAAGAAAATTTCACTGGGCACAGAGCAGTAAGTGCGGAAAAATGATAAACAAATGTAAATAATAAATAAAAGCAAACCAAGGACACTTAGAGCGAAGCTAAGTGTCCACTACATGTCTGTAGGGTTAGACAGAGATAAAACAAAGGGCAAATGCGGTCTGAGGTGCACAGGCACCTAATATGAACAATGACCTCTGGAATTGCGACAGGAGGCTGTATGGGGTCTGGATCAGCTGCCACAGGCTCAATCTCTCCCCCGTGATCCAGATCATCATCAGTTTCGCTATCAGTGTCCAGATCTGTGCTTGGATGGTAGTATTGCAGTGTAGGGGGTGGAATGGAGGGTATAGGAGCTACTGGCGCATTTTGGGTAGGTTTGGAAGCCAGAGGCGCAGGTAGGGAAGGTGAGGAAGGGTGAGTGGACAGAGGGAAGTACCTCTCATCAAAATCAGCCCTTTCTGAGATGATTGTGCGCTTTGTGGTGGGATTGTAGAATTTCCAGCCTTTGTAGCCATCTGGGTACCCTATAAACACACATTTCTCCATGTGGGACTCCAGGGGTTGTTGCAAGTGTAGTACTCCAGCACTCAGCAATGCTAGTCCCTACTAGCACTTGGTGGTTAAACCACACCAAGTAAGCCTAGATACCCTGACCAAATAGCTCAGTGGTTAGAGCACCCGGTCGAAACCTGGGAGGGCCAGGGTTCAATCCCCTGTCTGGTCGCATTTATTGCAACAGGTTATGAGCCCTGGGCGCTTGTGGGAATGTCCTGATAAGTCCTTTCTGCTTA